TTAGGGTTTGGGGTTTTGGTGTTTTAAATCTGGGGGGGTTAATACTGGTCTTGCTATCTGGGCTTGGTATGGAGTCTAGACATTGATCTTCTGAGGTATTCGGAACTGTTCCAAAGGCACGTTATCTGGGACGATTCGTGACGATGCCGCATTTCAACCTTTCAGTCAAGTCACTTTATTTACGACGCGAACGTCGCAAAGCGCGCTTGATTTACAAGATTCAAAAAAATCAATTCAGGAACAATGCCGTCAAGAAACCGCAAACCACTCAGCAATTCTTGTACGACCGAACATACTTAGCCCCTGTTCCGCTAGGGACATGACAGGATCTTCTGTTGATTAAGCGAGGAAGCCCATTTTCCCTTCAGCTAAAAGTTAACCAGCAAAAATTGTTATATTGCTTATTGCAAGTTGCTTGGTATCTTGAATTTCAAAACCTGGGGCTCAAAGACAATGTCGAGGGACTATTGCAGAATTCCCCAACCACAGAACAAGCTTTTCACTGTTCAATCTATGCGTCCATCCAGCATCCAGCCATCCATCCATCCAGCCATCCAGCCATTCATCCACGCATCCATCCATCCATCCGTCCCTCCGTCCGTCCATCTATCCATGAATGTTTGTGCACCCTCTAAAGACCAGAAACAACAAACTCGCCATTAGATGGGATTGGTGCGAGCTACCTAACTACCTTACATCAGACCCAAGGCAATACGCTAAAGGCTGAGAACTCTAACCCCACAAATCCAAACCCTCAGTCCAGCTGCTGAGTTCCCCCTCTCTCTCTCTCTCTCTCTCGAAGGCGAAAAGGGCGTCCAGATCCGGACCACTTGTCAGCAGCCCGTTAGGAAAAAAGAGTGATCCACTAATATGAAAAGAGAAATGCGAAATCCACATGCCTTAAGGCATGTAGGAGTCAGTGTCTAACAGATGGAGGACAGTGAGGAAGTTGCATGAACCGGAGCATTTCCGGGCTATTATGAACCCTTTTCAGGGGCCGCCAGGACCAGGACTAGGGTAAGTTTTCCAGGTCTCGGCAAGACGTTCAATAAAGAATGGAGACAAGGGCGTCACAGCCGCTCAGTAGTCGATGGAGATGAAGACCCCCGACGCACTGCAGGATTCGTGTCCACTGTCTTGACAAATCAGGAAGCGAGCTTAGAATGGTGTAATGTCTGTGGTCGTGGACTCCCGGCTCGCCACTGGCGGCTCCTGCGAGCAACTGCTTGTGGGCAATGAAAACGCGGAGTCCAATAAATCGCGCCAAATGCAGGTAAACCTTTCCGTGACCTGCGGAGGAGATGTAGCGGAGCTGTCAAAACTCCTGCGGGAGGAGTTGTAACCAGTGGAAATACAAAGCGTCGCTGTAGTTGGTGCCAAGACAGGATGCGTCGCACTACCGCTCCTGTCAAGGCACCGGTTGGAGAAGAAATCTATTGCAAGGAGAATGGTGGCCGTGAAAAATAGGCCCGCATGCAGCATGTGTAGTCGTCCAGGATGAAGTTGCCAGTCCAATAACAGTAGGGAGGAAAAGCTATATCAGTCAGAGTCCTCCAATGCCGACGGAGAAAAATTTCGCAATCGAAAAGCTCCAGCCCCCTAACTGGAGATAATCAGTGGCGTAAACTTGTTGGCCAGGAAGAGTTGTCCTGAAGGTCGAAGGTAATGTCAATCCTGATGATGGTGGTAATGTCATTCCAGATGATGATGTTAATGTCAATCCTGAAGTAACCATGCGGGAGTATAGTGACGGTGCTCAGCCATCTATTTCGCAGCAAAACATGGCAGCACGCTCATCAGGAGGACGATTGAGGCTACCTGTTGAAGGCCCACGTTGCCCTGTGCCAAAAAGCCTGCTGAGTTCCCTAGCCCCCAAAACCCTAAACCCAAAAGGATTCTTAACTTATTTACACTAACTTGGGATTTTAGTGTACCTACCCAGCTATTGACTGCGGCACCAGAGGCCTCCCAAGCACCTAAGCCCGAAACAATAAACGCTAAACTAGTGTAGGTTTGCGAGCCCTATAAAAACTAAATGTTTATGGCTATATAAGGATTACAAAAGGATTAAGGGTAATAAAGATTGAAAAATCATGTTCAAACCTACCCCCGTAAACTGAAATTGCATACCTGAGCCCTTACACGTCAACACGCTCCGCCTTCTTCTCGGCGGCCTCCTTTTCTCGGAGGGCTTTCTCCGCCTGCTCCTCGCAAGACTTTAAGGTTCAGGTATTTCTAAGGTTAGGCCCTAGGCTCAGGTTCGTTTGGGTTCGGGGCTCAGGGACTCACATAATATGACGGTTAAAGATTTCGGGCTGTTCAGGGTTTAGGGCTTCTGGGGATTAGGATTGAGGGGTTGAGTTGGACTGTCAAAGTTTGGCCTGAGAAGCAGGACAGAAGTCAGCAGCCCTCATTACAAAAAAAACATATGGGGTTTCCCAAAATCAGTAGTACCTTTTTGGGGATCCCCATAATAAGGGCTATAGCATTTTGGGCTCTATATAAATACGAAAAAGAACTCCTGCAGTACGTACCTGAAGAGAAGAATTGCAACACGCAAAACACTTTAGCACGGCTTTCGGGCGAATCTAAACCATGAACAAGTACGCCATCCCTGCAATAGCAGTGTGTCAAACCCGAACACCCTCAAGCCTCCCCGTTTATTCACCCCAGATTTTCTTCAAAGCCCCACCTTCGGAGTAGGGGATAGGAAGACTGGATCCCATATGAGCCATAATCTTAACTCCTAGCATCCCCCTTAATAAACCCTATGATACTCCACTATCTAATCCCCTATATAACCACTATAAGAAGTTTAGACTATAGCTCATATCAAGTAGCTTGCTCGGGGCTTCAAGGACTGGAGACCTGAAAGGGCTAAATCTACATTCAACAATGACCCAGAACCCCTAATTAATCGGAAACAACCGGAATTAGGCATACGAACAAGCAAGTTTGAAACTCCGCGCACTCGCTGACCCCATCTACCACACACTTCTAACAAAGCCAGTGTAACAAAACCACGCCGTTCCAATGAAATCCCGATTGCAACTTCAACACTGTACCTAAACCCTGCTCGAGACCTAAACTGGGGTTTAGGGTCTAAGGTTTACTGTCTAGGCTTGTTATGTAGCCAAGGTTTACGGATTTAGGGTTTAGGGCCGCATCTGAGAGGGACCCATTTAAGCACGGATCCTACAGGCTTCCCTGAGGCTGAGCGAGTAACATCCAGTAACGAGCCCAAACCCCAAGACCTAGAACCCAACAAAAACAAGCTCCCAACCAAAAACCTGATTCCGATAAACCTCCAACCCAACTCCCGCAACCTACACCCCAAAGCCCTCGGCCTCAACCCCAAATCCTAAAACCTAAACCCCAAGCCCTGAGAAAAACCTGAAAAATCTACAGGAAACAAAAACCCCCAACAAGTTTAGCCCCAAAACCGTAAACCCAGCTCCGCAAAACCCTGAAGTCCAAAACCTCTATAGGTCCAAGAAAGCTCTGGAAATTCCGAGCTTCCATGTTATGCAACACCTGGACCCCTACAAAAAAAAAAAAACTTGAACCACGAATATAGAATTTCCGACTATATCCCTATGTAACCCTACATGCCCTTGTATAACGCTATGTGGTAGCTTCACTAGATAGAGTAACCCCGCAATAGACCTCTATTTACTATAGTCCTTATTATAGGTACCCCCAGACCCGTATATGGTAGTTTCCCAAAAAAAATGGGGAACCCAAAATATAGACCCCCAAATACCATAATCCCCAGAACCACGCAGAGCAAGGGCCATCCGCGGTCACCTTCATGTCCTTCGCAGCTTTTTCTGCCTCCTCTTTGGCTGCCTGGTCGTAATAATAGTAACAATGGTCATAATTTAGGTGGGGGGGTAATGATTTAGGGTTTAGGGTTTAGGGTTTAGGTGGGCCCCCCACCCAGTAATAGTGACTATAAGGGATAATAGGGATAATATTAGGGTCCTACTATATTCCTATGATACTACTATTACAGGGTGGGGGGGTCCTCCTAAGTAATAATAGCAATAAAAAAAAACAACAGTAGTAATAGTAATAATGGTAATAGAGCTTATGGGGGAGTATGGGGGCATATAAGGTTATGAAAGGAAATGCAGGGCTCAGCGTATAGGGTGTGTGTCGGGTTGAGGGTTTGGTGCATGGATTCAAGGCGGAGGGTTGAGGGCCAAGGGTTTAAGATGTAGGGCTTGGGTATCGAATTGTTGCCAACTATACTGCAGAAGCCGGCACACTGCTGAATATGATCCCCTTGCAGTCCCTCTGAAATATAGTATGGTGTACACCCAAACACTATTCTGATTAACGAGGCCTTTGCGTTACATGGCATGTCATACTGCTGGCCTTAAAGGCGTCCATCATTGGTGCGACCATACAGCAACAATTTGGGAAGTAGTGCAGGTTGTAGTTAAGGGTTTAGGGTTACAGCCCCCCTTAAGTAGATAGAACATGCGGTATATGGGGATCTTATTATAATATACCCAAAGCCATATTCCATCTACTTAAGGGGGACTATAAGGTTTTAGGGTTAAGGCAAAACTTTACCTGGCAGGCCGAGTCCTGATCCCTGAAGAATATGCCTCAAACCCTGAATTCCAGGATTCCTGGGTTTATAGTCCCCCTTAAGTAGATAGAATATTGTTTTGGGTATATTATAATAAGATCCCCATATACCCCATATTCTATCTACTTATAGACTATGAATCGTCGGAGCGCGCCAAACTGCATCCTGTCCTACGAGATGTCAGCCTTAGCATAGCGTCCACTGGATTCTTCCCTGTGCAGGTTCCAAATGAGAAAACACAGAGAACGATCAGGGGCGCCAACTGCGAACGGTCTGAACGCTGGTAGAAAGATAATTCTTACGGCGATAGGCCGTAAAAACGGAATGACCATAGTACGTTCCCACGATAGCCAGCATTCCATCTATGCTCTGACAGGAAGCACATGCGAGACTTCGGAGCCTGCCTTCATCTCTGCCAGGGCTTTCTCAGCTGCAACCTTTTCGGCTAAAGCTTGCTCGGCCGCGGCTTTGTCTGCAGCTATCTTTTCTGCAGCTGCCTTGTCTGCGGCTGCCTTCTCCGCAGCCGCCTTTTCTGCAGCCGCCTTCTGTGCTGCAGCCTTCTTGACTTTCTCAGCCGCAGCTTTATCTGCTGCTGCCTTCTCTGCAGCGGCCTTCTCAGCGGCAGCCTTCGCAGCAGCAGCCTTTGCGGCAGCAGCCTTCTCAGCGGCAGCCTTGTCAGCGGCCGCCTTCTCAGCAGCGGCCTTCTCGGCGGCTGCCTTCTCGGCGGCTGCCTTTTCGGCGGCTGCCTTTTCGGCGGCTGCTTTATCCTGCGGCGCGCACGAACAAGACCAAAACAAATGTTCAAAAAACGGCGGGCTAAAATACAACAAGCATCAAAAACGCTTGGCAATATAAAAAGTGCACATAATTACGGCACCAACAACAGGCCGTCATTGCAAAACAAATGTCTGATCAAACAATGACGAGCTCATCGAACAACAACAGGGCAAATCAAAACATAGCACATGTGACAACAGAACGCACCCTATGTAAACCGAAGCGATTAATGCTAGGGCGTAATGCAATAAGCCGAGTCTTGCTCGGAAATCTTATGCTGAGCACTCTTCTGACCCTGGTTTCAACGGCAATCTCCCCAAGGCGCTGCCCCTCTATGGTGCTTAAATGAGCTATAGGGCTATAGTCTAAACTCCTAGTATCCCATTTAATATCCCCTGTAGTAGTCCCCTATATAATCCCCCATATACCCCACCCTTAAGGAGTTTAGACTATGCCTCAAATAATCTCCCCAGGCCGGTGCACTGCATTGCATGACGAGACCGGCGGGTGTCGACACATCCTCAACCATGCCTTTGTACTGCATGTAACCGGCGTTGTGTGATCCGGCGCCTTCGGTGTCCTACATTTTCAGCTGCTTTGGGAGGGGGCCGGGGCCTCTGCTTCCTGATCGACTCTGGTGGTTTTGAATTGGCGCCACCGTCTGTTTGATCGCGCTCTTATTGGTTTTATCTGCGCCTCTGCTGCTTCTTGGTCGGGCCTTGCTGCTTTGCTATCCTAACCTCCCATGCTTCCGGGATGCCCATTACGTCATTACGTTTTGATATTTGACTTTGCTACCCTTCTCCTCCGCGCCCTTCGCTTCAGCTTCGTTGTCACCGTCTGCCTTCTCCGCATCCCCCTTGGGCTGAGGGGTGGCGGAGGTGCCGGGGCTGGGCTTTGCGGCCCTGCCAGCTGCGTAGGGGTTGGTGACCTTGGTCAAAGCAGGTGACCATGCGGATCCATACTGTACGTCATGCCAAAACATGATGACCCTAGAAGGCATAGGACTCACATTAGGAGCATCGAAACCTGTGAAGAGAGCCTTCTCATACTACTTTTCGACATTTCGAACCATAAATCCTCCACACCCTAATACCAACCCTACCTTTGTCATTATGTTGCTCTCTTACATACTGTAGTCTCCTCAGACCCATAACAGAAATTGAAAAATCCTTTGGGTTCTACTAAAAACTTAAAATCAATTTCTAAGGGGACTACAGCGTAATCAATGCCGTCTGTGCGGCCTTTCGAGCCGGCGCTCTGTTCTGGGGCGACTTGCTCTGCGTCTTTGCTTGGGGACCCTGCTTCGGGAGAGGCTTTAGGGTTTATAGGGTTTAGGGTGTAGGGTTGAGGGTTCAAGGTTTAGGATTTAGGGTTGAGGGTTTAGGGTTACAAACCCAAAGCCTTAAAACCCTAACCTTAAACCCAAAAACTTAAACCTCTAAGCCCAAGACCCTGTGGCCAGCAAGGCTGGAAGCGCCATGCCCACCCAGCGGGCAACGGAGGAATGCAAAAGAAACTGGGAACTACTATAGTCCCCCTCAAGTAGATATAATATGGGGTACATTGGGATCCTATTATAGTATACCAAGGCCATACTCTATCTATTTAAGGGGGACTATATATATATATTATGTACGTCGTTCATTTATTGGGGATTATGTAAGGATAACTATAAGGATCCATTCCTTCGTTCCCTGCTAACCATAGGTAAGCATTGGGACCTTGAGCAACGCAACCTTTAGTGCCTAAGGCAGGGAGTAACCCTAAACCCTAAATCCTAAACCCCTAAACCCTAAACCCCTAAACCCTAAACCCTAAACCCCAAACCCTAAACCCCTAAACCCTAAACCCTAAGAGGGTTTCAGTTTCACCTTTTAAGGCCTTGGCATGCTGCCCGGCAAGAGTGATTTGTGAACAGCGTAGGGTTGTGGGGATGTAGGCTGCCTTCAGGGAACTCGGCAAATCCCCTCCTGGAATTGATTTCTGGGTTGCTGTTAAGGAACCTAATTAGGTTACCGTAATATGGCGAGATGTTTACCTTTGGCCTCCTGACAATTAGTTGCTGAAGACGTAGGAGCTGAGTACTGCTAACCGACATAACGTTCCAAATGCGTAGGCGCATCCTCCGGACATGTAAAACTGTGTATGAACCTATTGCAGCCGCTGGGCTTTCTCAATGCTCGAAGTTTAGGCCTGACAAATTCTGAGACGACGTCGAACCCTACTGTACAACCCTAAATGCGGAACCCACGCCATCAAAGCCCCAGACCCTACTGCAGGGCCTTACATACTGTACCTGCAAAAGGCCAAACCATGCTGAGAACAAAAAGAGACTTTTTACAGAAAAGCTAATGGTACCTATGTTAGGTGGACCCCCCACCCAGTAATAATGACTGTAAGAGATAATAGGGATTATAATAGGGTCCTCTTATATTCTTATTATACCACTATTACAGGGTGGGGGGTCCTCCTAATACCTATGAGCTTAAACCTAAGCCCTGAACAAAGACCTCAACAAAGACATAACAGGTTCCACCTTCTTCTCAGCCGCCTCCTTTTCTCGGGCAGCCTTGTCTGCCTGCTCCTCTCAAGCTCCGCAGTTAAGGGTTAAGGGCTTAGGGTTTAGGGTTCATCAATCTACGCTTAAGGGTTTAGGGTTTTGGGGCAGTTCTATCTCTGTAAACAATTCCTTCCTTCCCTACTGAAAACGTAGCAGCGCAGAAGAAAGTACATCCAGAACGATAGTGACCCTAAACCCTAAACCATGTTAAGAGATCTCTAGGAATTGCTGGGGTTTTCTCCCAGGGTTGTTGCATGCAAGTGTAACTAATCATGAACTCTTGAGCGGGGTGGCTTCAATACCTGTGAAAACCAGCTCCGAATCATGTATGAATCGGCTATCTCATGCTGGCCTGTCAAACAAGGGGCAAGCTCGGAAATTCAGAAACTTTTCAGGAGGGTCACCGCACACTCCCAACCACGCGACAAAATATTTGTAGAATTCCGTGCCCACTGCATAGTCCGACGTGAACCTTTGTAATCCCCAAAGCAGCCCTGCATGATCACCAATAAATCCCGAGCTTGCAGCATTCCCTGCTGCCTTAGCCTCCTTGGCAGCTTTCTCCGCATCCTCTTTGGCTGCCTGAGGGTGAAGGAATGCGAGATTCCAGGTGTCCGGCCAGCTCTTTAAAAAAGTGCCGAGTCCCAGCAAAGTACGGGATAGAGCGGAACAGCTAACGCAAAAGTACTAGCACTGGAATTCCTAACAGTAGCAGACATCTACCGCCTAAGTGGAAGACTGTTTGCTTTCACGAGTCTACTTAGACAGGTAGTTACGAGGCTTGCAACGGGGTCCTCGGCCTTGGCATAAAATGCTGTACTTACTATACCCAAGAGTAGGGTACAATCTTACTCTATATTGGGCACCATAGTATGCTTCTCGGGAACCCTTCGCCATGATCTCGTTTGCTGCACGCTTCCCTAGCCCATTCTCCTCTAGGCACAAAAAAGATCCTCGACATGTATTGTTCTCCTGTTGCAGGTACCCGAAACCCTAAACACTCCCTAGACCCTAAACCCTAAACCTGAGCCCGAAAACCGACATTTGTTGGGGGACTTGAACTTTCCGACCCCGAGCCCACAACCCAAAATCCAAAGGCTGAACTTAAACCCAAACCCCTAAACCAAAACCCCGCACCCTAAACCTGAAACCCACAAGCTTCACCAGGAAAGGATCTGTTGGCGGCTCGCTTACCTCTGGCTTCCTGCATTTGGGCGTAGGGGGGGGCCCAAGCTTGAGGTAAGGGGTTTAAGGTTCAAGTTTAAGCAGGTGTAGCTCTAGGGTGTAATCTTGTAGGGCCTAGGGCTTAGGGCTTGAATGCCCTAATTATGGGATTTTGAAGTTGTTTAGGGCTCACGCGTATAGAGGTTCGGGTGTAGGAATTTGATCTTTGGGTTTGGTCGTTTACTTGGTATTCCCCCACGCCTTAGTTACCCCAAGCATATGTGAGAGGGTTCCCGTTAGGGCCCATACAGTATATGATACTGCCACTTAGATAACGGCCCCTAAACCCTAAACCCTAAATCCTAAACCACCCTAAACCCTAACCTTAACCCTACGTAAAGCGTCCCACTTGGGGGGTCGGCCTGTAAGATGCTAAAAAGCTACATTCCCTTCCCGCCATCGCAGGAAACGGAATGATGATACCCCCCTAACTGACGCGAAACCCCCACACTAGGCACTAAACCCTAAATCCTACACCCTGAACCCTGAACCCTAAACCCCAAACCCTAAACCCTAAACCCTGAACCCCTAGGCACTAAACCCTAAATCCTAGACCGTAAACCCTGAAAGAAGGTCAACACTGAGCCCGCAACCTTAAAGCCGAATTAAGACACCTTAAGCCCAATCCCTAAACCCTAAACCCTAACCCCTAAAACCTAAACCCTAATCCCGAAACCCTAAAACCCTAAAACCTACTCCCTAAACCCTAATCCCTGATCCCTAAACCCTGCCCCCACACCTTGATTCCTACACCCTAGACCTTGAATCCCCAAAACTTCAAGCCTCGCACACTTCGGGCAAACCGTCTCAAGTCCCCAAGCCCTACGCGCGGTTTAGGGTTTAGGGTTTAGGGTTTAGGGTCTCTACTGTTCTAAATCCTACGCCTTAGACCCCAAAAGCTAGCTCTTAGAGCCGAAGCCCTGAGTAGACTGCCTAAACCCTTAATACCAGTTCCTACTTCCTAACACCGAGGCACGTCTCCGGCTGCTTCCCTGTTGGCTCTGCTGCACGGCCTGGCAAGGCCAGCGAAGACACTCTTGGGCTGTAGGGCTAGGGTTTAGGGTTTAGGGTTCAGGGTTTAGTAGGGTTCCATCAATAGGTGGGGTCTTGGTCCAATTAGGGGGTAGGGATATAATGTTCAGGTGGTGGGTAGTTTGGGAATTGAGGTTGCTTAACGGAACCTTGGAAGAAGGGTGCATTGGG